TCCGAATTCACGTTCAATCAGCGATTTATCGACTAAATCGTAGTCCGATTCAACAACTCTATCGAAATGAAGTGCCACCGGCATTAGACCCTAAATGAAGTACAGTTTAAGAATATACAATCGATCAGGAATATCTTCGCTTGCAGTTTAATCTGGCTCCATTTTGAGTCCACCAATTTCACCACTGAAATTCTCTCGAAATTCGCTCGTCGAAAAAAATTTCGAATTGATCACATCGAGCAAATGAAAATTTCTGATGATTAGCGGAGCAATCCGAACGAAAGTGGTTACTGCAAGTGAATGAAGAGCTAATCTGCTGTAAAAAAAAACGTACAATGATATATTTTCTAGCGATAACAACACCGCTGATTGGACCCGAAATAATCACTGAAACTCCGTCGGCTCCATTCGCGGTGCACTGTATATTCGTAACGGTTTGCTGTGCCAGCAGCTCCAATCTTTCTCGTTTATCTTCTCCGATTATATTCGAACGTAACGATGAACGCAAATTTAGCACTGTCTGACAAATTACACTTGTATCACTCTGAAACATTCACATCGAGTTGAAGTTCAATGAATCCAAAACAGAAATGAATAAATTTGACGACATTCGTTCACAACTGAATGACGTTCGTATTCAACTAGTGCATGATTGGTTTGTGATGAAGTAGCGCGTTGAAAAGTACCTGCAACTGAAAGATATCAGCGAGTATCATAACGGCTTTAATGATTGCGATCTCTTGTTGCTGTGTACCTTTGATGATACAGTTGATATTGCCGTTGTAGGTCTCGTGGAACGTTATGAATAAATCCGCCATTCCAATTGTGCGTTGCACTTCGGACAGGGGATAAACGTTCGAATTCGGTAGATCGAATGTTATCGATAACGGCGATAAATTCTAGAAACTTTTTCTATGTTCAATTATCACGATTACGACACAAGAAACGGATATGACTGATGGAATACATTCACAATTGCATGCCTACTGATGATTTAGGCGTTTTGGGCATTGCTGGCAAAAAACCACTCAAGCCCAAAGAGATATTCAAGTACTATTGAGAAAATTGTTCCACTTTCCAAATGTTTAAAGCGAGACAAAAAANTTTTTCTATGTTCAATTATCAGGATTACGACACAAGAAACGGATATGGCTGATGTAATACATTCACAATTGCTTGCCTACTAATGATCTATACGTTTTGGGCATTGCTGGCAAAAAACCAGTCAAGCCCATAGAGATATTCAAGTACTATTGAGAAAATTGTTCCACTTTCCAAATGTTTAAAGCGAGACAAAAAAGCTCCAAATTCTTAAGCACTTCAAAATGTAGTGGGAGATGCTAAAACTCCCTGGAATCCTTTGAAAATGCGATATGACACGCAGACACATTGAAAATCAGATGGTTATGTGAAGAGAAAAGCAATTTTTAAAATATTCATATTGATTTCAAATCAAGGAAACATAACGTCTGATGTAATGATGTAAAAAGTAGCCCAAATTTCAATATTCCGATTGGAAAACGATAACCAATTCAAATAATTCGATAATTCTATCATTTATGAGCTGAAGAATGGTTCAAAAAGTTCGAAATCGTCGATAATATTAAACGATATTTTTGAAAATTATCATTTTAATAATCGTTTCTCATCACTGATTCGAGTCTCTTTTTGTTTTTAAACTCAAAAAATCACAAAATCAGAAGGAACACGAATTGCAAATGCATTCATATGGTATGAAATAATGCATATTCACCCTTAAGCATTTACGTGCTTTTTCAACTTGTCCAACAGATCCCGATATAGAAACCTGAAGAAAATTAGCAATTAAGTTCCAGTGTAGATGGCATTCAATTGTACTTCTTTTGATCAACTTTTGATCAACTTGC